TGCCCATGTAATATGTAACCCCTCTGTACAGTATTTTCACAATAAAAAAAATCAAGATCTGTTTTTTTCCTTTATGGTCTGTGCTCTTTATATCTTTAATCCTTCTCTATCAGAGGTTAAAAAAAAGTAAGATTTTTTTTTTTTCAATCATGGGGCCTGAACTCTGGGCCTAGGTGCTGTCCCTCAGCTCTTCAGCTCAAGGTGAGCACTCTACCATTTGAGCCACAGTGCCACTTCCAGGTTTCTGGTGGTTTATTGGAGATAAGAGTCTCACGGACTTTCCTGCCCAGGCTGGCTTTGATCTGAGATCTTCAGATCTCAGCCTCCTGAATAGCTAGGATTACAGGTGTGAGCCACCAGCACCCAGCAGAAATTGTTTTTTTACATGGAAATCCTGTACACACATACTTAACATGTTACATGTCTAAAACTAAAGGTTTCACAAAATAATATTTATGCTTTCAACCTGAAATGCAATCATTTAAAACAATTCTAGTCTATTTCATTAAAAAAGTAAATTTCTGGTTGAAATTCAGGAATAAAGGACCCAGTTTGGAAAACATGGATCTATGGTACAGAACTAAGAGATGAGGTAGATGACTAGGACATGACTAGAAGTGATCAAGGCAAGAAAACGAGTTCACAAATATTCTTCCTTGTCCTTCTCCTCCTCTTCCTCCCTTTCCTTCCTCACTCTCCCTTTCCTTCCCTCCCCTCCCCTCTCATTTCCTTCCTTCTTGTGGAGCAAGGGGAGCTTGGGAAGAAACACAGATTTACAGCTGTTAGGAAATCAGAGCCAAGGAAAACCTTGGAAAGAGGATGAACTTTTTATAAGGAACAATTTTTTTATGCGCTACAGATCTGTAGACCACAACAGTTATCTTCTCACCAGGAAGTGTACACACCTTCTAGCCATGGCTTCTAACCCAGCCATGGGTTTTGACAAAGTAAGAGTAAAACGTCTCACTGTACCTTTTCTAAACTTGGGCTTCGCTTTTGATGGTTCTTCCTGTGACTTGCCGCCATCTTGGATGGGGAGGGTCATGTAGCACATCAGATCCAGAACTTTCTCACAGGTCATCTATACAAGATAAAACCATCAGGGGCTGGGAAGGTGGCTCAGTGGTAGAGTGCTTTGCCTTGCATGCATGAGGCCCTGGGTTCGATTCCTCAGCACCACATAAGCAAAAAGAAAAAAAGCCGGAAGTGGCACTGTGGCTCAAGTAGAGTGCTAGCCTTGCGCTGAAGAACTGAAGATAGTGCCCAGGCTCAGAGTTCAGGCCCCACGACCGGACACCCCCCACCCCAAAAAAAGATAAGACCATCAGGCAATAACCAGAGACTGAAATGAAATGAATGTGAAAGCAAATACCCTGAGCAAACACATAGGCAACATGTGTGCCAGAAGTCTGGGTCTCTGCCTCAAGACTAAAACGTATGTATGGGATCATAAGTATTTGTTCGGCAGTGAACAGAAAGAAAGGAACAAGGAATGGTAAGATTAACAATATGGCATTATCCTGCCCATGCAATTGTAACCCCTCTGTACAGTTTGTTCACAAATAAAATAAAATAAAATTAAAAAAAAAAAGATTAACAATATGGACCAGAGGGGAAAAGTCTGTACTTTGATGTTAAAGCCTAAACTTAAAAATTAATCAAGTACTAACTCAACTATCTGTGTGTAGGTGCCAAATGATGGTGGAAAAGCATTTCCAATGTTAAATGCACACGTTTTACCTGTTCATCATGGCAAATTATAAATCATATTGCAGAGTCCAGGTTAAATTTTGTAGGTATTTAAATCGCAATCAATTTAAGTATATAGAGAGAATCTATACACAGCTTTCTGCACACTTTGAATCATCTTTTGATGAATTGCATTACCTAATCCAGTGGAAGCCCATGGGAACAGCTGTCACACCGTGCTGTTCAAAGGAGGACAAGAATGTCTGCACATTTCAGAAGAAAGCAGCGTTTGTGTGTGAAGCTGTGGCCTTGAATTTGTAGAGTATCTACATATATGAAAATGCACCTATAATTTTAACCGACTCCAAGTGTTTGCCGTGCATTCACTCTGTGGAAGTCGTCATTAGGTGCTTTTGAAATCCGAAGATAAACAGCGCAGCCCCCATTCTGCAGCAGGAGAACTCAGGCTCATGAAGAAAAGATTACTTATAAATCTGTTCCTGCTGGGCGTTCGTAGCTCATGCCTGTAATGCCAGCTACTCAGGAGGTTGAGATCTGAGCATCATAGTTTGAAGCTACCCCAGCCAGGAAAGTCCAATTAACTCTAATTTCCTATGAACCACCAGAAAGCCAGAAATGGAATTGTGGCTCAAGTGGTAGAGCACCAGACTTAAGTGAAAAAGCTAAGGGACAATGCTCAGACACCAAATTCAAGCCCTAGTACTGGAATAATAAATAAAATAAAATAAACCTGTCCTGAACCCTCTGTCTAGTGTCATAGCCATTTAACTAGAGAAGCTGAAGTATGGGTAAGCTAAATGTCGTAAATCCTGTTGGCCACTTACTGATGGCCTCATGTCTCCAAGCACAACAGAATAACCTGGGTAAAGTGCACTTAGTAAACAGATTAAGGAGATTCTAAGCAAAAAAAAAAAAAAAAGTAAGCAATGATCCTCCAATAAAATAGAAAAAAAAATCAGAACATTTGAAAAGCCTAATTTCAGGAAAGTCATACTAAAGAGAAAACTAAAGAAAACATCTTTGTGGTTTCTTCACCAGCAAAATTAAGTCATAAGTCTTAGTGGCCACGTGAAATTCCAGCACACACACACACACACACACACACACACACACACACACACACACTGGTTTCAAGGGTCTTCTCTAAGACAGGGAGTGCCCATCTCCTGGAGGCCAGGTGCCAGGCAACACACTCATACTCACTCTGTATTCTCCCAGGGCTAAGTGACAGGTCGCCAGCTGGATGAGTGCCCGCTGATGCTCCAGGGTCCCCTGTCCTGAGATCTGTGGCTGGGAAAGCGATCCCTGCAAAGCGGCTAAGTGATGCAGGCTGGCTATTGCCTTTTTATATTGACCCTTAGCGAGGGAAGAAAAGAAACAACAAAAACATTGCCCTGAGAAAAAAAACAAAAACCCACGTTCTCTAGTTTATTAAGCAATCAGCAAGCAACTGTAAATAAAGTACTTTTTTTTTTTTGGGGGGGGGGGTCCGGTCATGGGGCCTGAACTCTGGGCTTGAGCACTGTCCCTAAGCTCTTCAGCTCAAGGCTAGTGCTCTACCACTTGAGCCACAGAGCCACTTCCGGCTTTTTTCTTTTTGCTTATGTGGTGCTGAGGAATCGAACCCAGGGCCTTGAGTATGCAAGGCAAGCGCTCTACCACTGAGCCACCTTCCCAGCCCATAAAGTACTTTTTTTTTTATAGAAGGTATTTCTTTAATCAAGTACTTCTGAATGATCAGAGGAGGTAAAGGATCGAGTGGTAGAATCAGATCGGTTACTTCAGATTAGAAGTTCTTTATGAGGGTGCTTCACTAGTCCAGTCATTCCTACGGATCCTCAGAAGCGTGGCTCTAGGATCATGCAGGCACCACAACGTGTAGATGCTCCATTCTATTTCAAATGGGCCATTTGCATACAGTGTATATACCTCCTGAAGACTTTAAGTCTTGAAATGAAATAAGACAACAGGAGCTCCCTGATAAAGAACATTTTGGAAGTTCATTTTGTTTTGTATGAAGGATGGCAAGAGGACCTTGTCCATTTCATTGTACTGGAAGAACAAAAATTGCCTACACTCTCCATTCTAGGGCTAAGAAGCTGGAGGGCAGGAGAGCAGAGCAGAACTCTTACCACAGCAGAGGGGAGAAGGGGGAGAGTACTCGCATTCTACTGAAGTGATGGTGGTGTGTGTGAGAGTGACACTTCCAAAATCCATGGAAGGTGTGGCCTTTCATTTCAGAGTCATGCTTAAGAGTCACTAAGCTTCATACCTGTGATCAGGCACTGGACTAGCTCATGGGGGGGGGGGGCATGGTGTACCCTGCAGATGAGGGATTAAATAATGGTGCACTCATCACTCAGAACATACCCAGGGACCCGAGACACACAGCACTCTACCTGGTAGATGATCATATCGGTAAGGAAGATTCTTAACCACAGCCATGTATCTGTCTTCCATGCCAAACAAATTCTTGTGAATTCTGAGTGGGAATTCAAGAGCAAATTCACCAAAAATACAGAATGCAGAAGCAGAAAACAACAGCAACCAACCCAGCAAAAGAGAACAAACTCCCCCAAAAGTCTTAACTTTATAGACTCTTGTTGCTAAAACAATGGATCCAGACTTTTAGCTTAGATAGTTAGAGTTTGCCATACCCAATACACAGGCAGGATTTTTATTCAGACACCAATCTGACAAGCACACAATGTGCTAACTGTGCTTTTCATGTATTATGACACTTGGTGCGTTTATCTGATTAACCATCCATTCACCCATTCATTTATTCATTCACTCAGAGTGTCACTCTGTAACAGACAGGCCTTCCTGTCTCAGCTTCCTGAGTGCTGGGATTTGTGTTGTGAGCCCAGGCTCACCTTCCATTTAACTTATAAACTACTTTGCTTCCCTTAGAATATGAAGTTGGATCTCAAATGAAAATTTTCTTCCAACACTCACATACACACTCATAAGTTCTACATGCAACAAAGAAACTGACTTAGAAGCTGGAACATGACACATTTGATATGCCAGCAGGGGACAGGAGGCCAGGGGACAAATGTCCACTGGCTAAAATTAAAGCAATGGGACTTGAATGCAAACTACAGCCAGGAGCTATGATATCCCTTTTGTGTCTATACTTCAAAGCAAATGGGTTTGCATGGCTTTTCAACTGACATGTATAGCTTGAGGAAGGGAAGGAAAAATAAGAAAAGAAACCTAAAAGAAACAAAAGACTAGCAATGGAAGTATTAATAAGATTACAAACTCTATTTCAAACTCCCTCCTAAGCCTGATTATAATATAGCCTACCCAGAGGAGGTAAGAGGTGAACATTTGTTTGAGTATTAGCTAAACAGGTATCCTATACAATGTGTGAACTACTATAATCAATTTCAATAGCTGTAAGAGACTCGACATTTCGAGCCAAGCATAAGTGACTTGTTAATATAATGACTATGTGAAAACACACACACACACCACACACACACAGAGAAGCACATTCTTACCTTTGTCAAGAAATTCTAGGGAATACAGCAACTCCCAGCTCTCCCTGGCCAGCTTAAAGCTTTCTAACACTTCAACGGAGTTAGAGAGTTCTGCTTTATTGACCACAATGTGACGATTCTTTCCTTTGGCTGCACATTCTTCGTCATCTGAACTCTGCTTGAAAGTGGGAAGAATATGTTGTCTGTTAAGACACGCTGTGTGTTATAAACACAAAAAGATGGTCAGGAGAAATTGCTAAGTTTCTAATTTTCAAATGTAGATTTCAAAGGTGGCTCTTTGTGGGCATTTCAGTTAGATCTGGGATTAGTCAACTCTGACCAAAGTTTTATAAATAAAGTTTTATTGGAACATTATTATATCACTTGTTTACACATTGTCTATTCATGTTTTTGCACCAAAACAGCAAAGTTGAGACCATCTGGCCTGAAAGGAGAGCAAACATTTCTTGGCTATTGATGGGGAAAGTAGGCTAACACCTGAACATGTCACCTCACTAAACATTCTTCTGGAAGAAATGGACTACTATCCTGCTTATGTTTGCCACCTGGCTGGGTTAGAAGGCTGAAAGTTCTTCGCATCCTTTGTCCTCTTCTGTATTTGTGTGGACCCAACCCTCTCAAATCCTGCCTCCTAATTCCAATGGACAAAATCCTGTATGTCCTCCCAGTAGGGGAGATCCTTTTCTCCTCCAGACAGCTCTGCTCCCATGTCTCACAGGCTGCTCAGGCTTTGCTCAGTGCCTCAGCTCTTTATAGTCTGAGGCCAATTTAGTTCCCACTTTGTTTTGTAAATGTAATCATTACCATTCAGTCAAACTGTGGACCATAACTCAAACTAGTTTTCCATCTTGTCGCTACTGACCCTTTGGGCCGTCCTGTACACTGTAGACTGAGACCATCCAAATTGTACCTTTAACCCGTACATGCTAATTTAGCAACTTCTCCCACCAAGAGCAAGATTGTGACAATCAAGAATGTCCCCATACACTGTCAATTGCCTAACACGTTGGACAACTTTAAAACCTAAGCTTTGGGGCTGGGAAGGTGGCTCAGTGGTAGAGCGCTTGCCTTGCATGCATGAGGCCCTGGGTTTGATTCCTCAGCACCACATAAGCAAAAAGAAAAAAAGCCAGAAGTGGCGCTGTGGCTCAAGTGGTAGAGTGCTAGCCTTGAGCTGAAGAGCTGAGGGACAGCGCCCAGGCCCAGAGTTCAGGCCCCATGACCAGACCCCTCCCTTCCTCCCCCCGCAAAAAAACAAAACAAAACAAAACAAAACTACATCGACGTCAACCTCAGCTTCCGAGTTCAGCAGTGATGGTAACAACTGCCATCCCTACAGATCCAGGATTCCCGGGTAATCCAAAACACACCAACCTTGGAAGAGGGATGGCTGAATGCTGCTAACGTACTGGAAAGCATTCTTAAAGAAGACCAGCATGGTGGAATAAACCACCTGGTTCTTGTATTTCGCATGGGCCTCACTGTCAAAGTTGTTCATGTATCTGCAGAGGTCTTTCATTCTGTGCAAAATATCACCATAGCTTCTGAAAGATAAAGGATGAGAAAAATCTTTCAACTCTCTAGGCTTGTCAGCAAAAAGGTGAAAGGAAAGCTGTGACAGATTCATCTCAGTTATCAACTATAGAAATGAACACTCATTACCGTCTTCCTTTATCCATCTGCCATTCACATCTCACTCCAACCACATTCAAAATCTTGAACAACCTCTCCCAAGGGTCCACAATCTGGGATGATTTTTCAGTCAGGCCTTCTATTATGTATTTCTGAGAGCTCCGTTTGCTAGGAGACATTAAATCAGATGTATCTTGGGCACCTGAGGAGAAGGAAGTAACTCACAGTTAACATCACGACTTCCTGTGCCTGAGGGATCTAGGAAGAAAATGTCAGACTCCTTGTTCAAAAGTGAAGAGGACAGAACCCCAGCCTAGCACTACAATGCCCTGCTCATATTACACTAGTTGCAAAGGATCAGGCCGAAGCTCAAACATCCTTCAGCCTCCTGAACACAGATGAGCAAGGGGCAAAAGGAAAGGAAATCACAGAAGAAAAAGAACAACCAGGAAATTTCAGTGAAGCCTTAGAAGAAGCTCAACAAGCTCTTCCAAAGCTTGAGACCATGGTGGAACACCCAGAGGTTTTCACTGACAGAGAAAAGTTCGCATCTGCTTCACAAGAGAACCTAGGATGACGAAATAAACAAACCAAGCTAACTACCACCGATGGATTTCTGAGAAGAGCACCACCTTCTCAACAAGAGCCACAAAAAGGTCCCTTAGGTGGGAGCAGCCAGCTCAGCTTTATTACTGGGGCAGGTGGAGGCAGGGGTGGGGGGTGGGGGCGCGGGAGGTGGAGGTGGAGACTCTAGCATGGGTGTGGCACAGGCTATGGCTGTGAACAGGACTGGCTGCTAACACGCAGGGGAACTGTCTGTTTCTCGGAATCCATTTCCAACCTGATGCCACCTCACGGCATGTAATGCCTCTGGTCCAGGCAGAAAGTGATCACGCAGTTCAGTGCACCTCAGGTGAGTGGCCACCATGTTCAAGGTGAGAATGGGAAAGAAAAGTCTCCCCATTTTTACCTGCTATCAACTTTTAGAGAAAGTGGGCCACATGGGAGAAGAGCAAGGGTGGTGATGAGGGAATTGTGAATTCACACCAGTGCCGACCGAGCTGCAGGACGCGGATGCATACCTTGAAGCTGACTCTCTATCTGAGGGGACCTGGTGACGTAGCTGATATAAAACTCGGCTGCTTTGTTCAAGTACTTATATAGTAAATTGGCAGGCAATCGGACGTCATGGTTGTTAATTATTAGAGGAAGGACATCACAAACTGTTCAAGGAGAAAAAAAAATCAGAAAATAAAAAAACACATATAATAAAAATAAAAAACAAACTTCATTTAGAGTTCATTTAATGTAACATCTAAGACATATAGGGGAAACGTCTCTTATGAGACATTTATTAAAAAACAGCAATGTGAAGAGACGTGGCTAGAAGGAGGCAGCTAGTGACATCACCTAGCAATACATTAGGGATTGGCTCAGTGGTCGTTATTAGGCTGCTTCGTCTTCGATTTTTCTTTTGGGAGACCTAGATATGTATTTTTTTTAATCTTTAAGTAGTTGTACAAGGAAATGCCATATACCAAAGCAGTTTATGTATACAAAGCATCCTGATCAGTGTCACCCTTTTTCTCACCTTTAACCCACCCCATCCCTTTCCTTACTTTTCCTGATTTTGTGGTATATACACAATGAATTGTTTTTTGTTGGTCATAAGGCTTGAACTTTGGGCCTGGGCACTCTCCCTCAGCTCTTCAGCTCAAGGCTAGTGCTCCACTGTGTGAGCCACAGTGCCACTTCTGGTTTTCTGGTGGTTAATTGGAGATAAGAGTCTTATGGATTTTCCTGTCTGGCTGGCTTTGAACCAGGATCCTCAGATCTCAGCCTCCTGGGTAGCTAGGATTATAGGCATGAACAACCAGCACCTGGCTCACAGTAAATTCTTGACTGCGCCTACTGCCATTATTTTAAGAAAGATAGGGGTGGGAGAAAGTGACAGAGGGTCTGAAATTGACCTGAAGGCACTGCACACTGCGTGGAAATGTCACAGTGGAATCTTGTACAACTTAAGGTTTGTGTACAAAAAAAAGCTCAAGGGTATAATATTATATAAGTTTAGAAGTTGTTGAAAATGTTTTCAGGATTAAAAAGATGAACAAGGTTTTAACTCCTTAATACACAAATGACCTTATCCCAGAAATGGACATGGACCCACCCCCCAAACTTCACTTACCACAGGAGTTATTATAAAGTACTACTTTTCTTACCAAACAATTTCCTAAAACAGTTCACAGGAGACTCTTGTTCTTCAATAGTTTCTGCTTCTAGCAGCGCCTCCCCCAGGCCAACCTGTTTCACAATAAAATTAACCACTTAATATGTGGTTTCCAGAGCTTAAAATCACACAAAGAAACGTAATTACAAGGGGGGGGGGAATTCTCTTTTTTATCTCAGTTACCTTATTCTCCAACAAACAAAATGTAAGACTGGCACAGCAGCACTTCCTGGAAGTGCTGGCCAATGACCACTAGACCACTCTGATCGTAGTTATTCTCTGAACTTACAAAATTAAAAGGCTAATGAGATGTCCACAGCAATGCCAGAGAAACAACAGAACTAGAGTCAGGATGATAATATCAATGGGGAAGAAGGGTAGAAATCCACTTCATTCTCTACATCAAGAGATCCCAGGAGACAGTCTGCATGAAATTAGGATAAATCATCTGCTGCCTTCCCATGCCAACACAGAAGCACAGCAGGAGTGCCTTATGAAAACCCACTAGGATGTTTGTATTATCTCCCTTGTAACCACCCAGGGAGCTGTAACATAGGGTGAAACAATGTAGAAGATTTTACTGCATAGAAGGTTAAAAGCACTATAATCAGGCACTGGTGGCTCATGTCTGTAATCTTAACTACTCAGAAGCTGAGATATGAGGATCATGGTTCAAAGCCAGCCCAGGCAGAAAAGTCCATGAAATTACAACTAACCATGAAAAAAAAGCTACAAGTGAGTCCATGACTCAAGCGGTAGAGCATCAGCCTGGAGCACGCGGGTCCTGAGTTCAAGCCCTAACACCAAAAACTAAAACTAAAAAGATCATTCTTTGGTTTGAATAGTGTTCTCTCCCCTTTAAATTCGTGTCCACCCAGAACCTCAGAATGGGACCTTACACAGTCACGTGCAACTTCTCAGGGCTGTGGGTCTGACAAATGCATCAGCAGGCAATTTTGTCATGAGAACCTCAAAGAGCCCTTTCACACACGAAGGTGGCTGTGTGCCAGGATCTTGCTGGGCTACTGCCATCTGTGCAGCCTAACAATGACCAAAGTGCCACTGTGAGATACATGGCCATCAACTTTACCTTTGAGGTTGTCTTGTTAGCTTGCTAGTGTTTGCTTATAATCCCAGCTACCTGGGATGCTGAGGCAGGAGGATATTAGTAGTTTGAGTGGCTCAGTGGTGTAATATTGCCTAGTGTATGGAAGAGTTTAATCAGCAGTAAAGACCGAGGGGTGGGGGAGGGGGAGTCTACAGATCTAATGAGTTAGGATGAGGTCACACCAGATTGAGTTAGGCCTGAAACCCAACCACTAGTAAAGACATAGGAAAGGGGAAAAAGGCTCATAGGATGACAGAGGCAGAAACTAGAGCAATGCAGCTGCCAGTCTGGGAAGACAGAAGAAAGATAGGGAACAAAGCTCTGCCCTTTGCCTTTGGACTTCCAGCCTCCAGACCTGTGAAAGAATTTCTGGTGCTTTCAGCCAGCCTATTTCTACTACTTTGGAGCCTCATAGAAGAAAGTATGCAATGGTTAAATGGAGCCAGCAGCCAGGCAAGTTGGGGGGTCAGGGGAGTTTAAATGAAAATGGGAAGAATGAACTGTTGGAATCCTGAATACCACTGGCCAGACCAAGTGATTAGACATTTGGGACTCAGTTTCTTTAGGGGATCCCTAGCACTTACTAATGTCCATCAATGGTGCTACATAATTTTCCAGATGTAAGGAAGTGGAAGGAACAGAGGGGAAGTGTTTAGGCCCCACAGGGAGGGGCACACAAATAGCACATCTGCTAGAGCCATAAACTGTGGCTCTCGCTTAGACTCAAGCACATTTTCAAACATAGTAAGGGAAAAAATAAAACCTATTGTACCGAACACAAATAAATGCTACAGTTTGGTGGTTTTTTTTTTTTTTTTTTTGGTGCCAGTACTGGGGCTTGAACTCAGAGCTTTTCCCCTCAAGGTTGGATGATACTCTACCTACTTTAGCCACAGCTCCACTTTGGCTTTTTGGTGGTTACTTGGAGAGAGACTTATGCACTTTTCTAAGCTGGCTTCACATGAGGCTTCTCAGATCTCAGCTGCCTCAGTAGCTGGGATTACAGGAGTGAGCCACCAATGCTCAGCTGATGACTATTTCTTTATACTGATAAAACTTCTGCTGGATATATGTACCTAATGTTTGACGGCAGTGATCTGCAATGCTGGCCTCTTAGTTTTCCTGACCAAGAACCTCCTGACTGAGGTCTTACTACAGTCAGAGAATCTCTGCTTTGGGATAAGACAAACTACAGCTTGTCAGCAGGTTGATCATCAGCTTCATCTTCTCATAAGGAAAAGGGGAGACTTGCTCTTACCCCATGCTGCACCACTGTTTCAGGGAAGCGCCTCAAGAGCAGGAGGAGCATTTCTGACCTTTCCAGTGTGTTGAAGCACTGTTCTGTGACCTTCAGGAGCATTTCGCACTGGACCCGACCAGGAAGCGTTTCAAACAAACCTGTATACAACACAGTTCACTGTTAATAGGTTATTCAAGACCAAAAAAAAAAAAGGTGACCCGGAAGTACTAAGGATGTCATTTCCCCCACAAATGGAACCATTAACAACATCATGGTGGGCAGGACTCTACCAAAGGGACCTGGAGGGCTTTTGAATCCCAAAGGACTTAACGCCAAGATGTTTGCTGGGTAGTCATAAAACATTCGAAACCTTACTAGATCCAGAAGACAAGAATGATCGATGGGTATGAGCTTACCTAGTGCCTAACACATGCGGTGGTAAAAACAAGGGCTGTTTAGAGCTGAAATGACTTAAACCATCCACTTCCTATTTGACCTTGAACTTGGAATCTTTGATCAGCAACCACAACCAGCACAGCAGTTTAGAAGGAAAAGGTCATAGTGTATGGAAAGCTTTCCTGCTGCTTTGTAGAAACCTGGTAAGATGTTTTAGGGTTTCTATAACATGTGATACAAAATCTATTCAATTACTTGGACTAATTGATAGAGCCAAAGACTTTAAGGAAGCTCAGAGGGTTCTAAGCAGATGCTCAGGCATCAACTGGCATTATTACAGACTTTAGTAACCAAGCAGTAAATACCAACACCACAAGTGTAACTTCCTCCAGACATTTCTGTAAATGATGTGGAATTCGGAAAAGGGCATTTTAAACAACTGTTAAAAGATATTACTCCATACTTGCCTAGTTGTTTTGTTTTTGAGACAGGGTCTCTTCTGTGTAACCATGGCCGGCCTTACACTCCAGAGGCTCCTGTGTGCAGTGTTTATAAGGTCTGTGCCACCCTGCCCGGTGCTACTTCATACTTACTTCTTAAAAACTGGGTTTGTTTATCCTGCGAATCATTCCTTAATGCTGATGTAATAATGCTGATTTCTCTCCACACCACTGGCTGGTCTGGGAAGTTCACAAACCTATTTTTTTTAAACAGATGCATTAAATTCAGATGTCAGATTCTTCACCATATTCCAAAAAATAAGGTAACAGTATCAGTTATTTGCGGAAAATATTTTTTTAAGTAAACAGGTATGTTGAAACAAACTAAAGATATGAATTAGTTTAGAAAAAGGAGTATCACGAAAGTCTTTAGAAGTTTTTTGTTGAGTGATAGACATGCAACCCAATACATAAAGAGAGCCTAAAAGTCAACAAGAATGAAACAAACTAGCCAAAAGAATGGACAAGACAAATAAGAGAATACAAACAGCTGAAACTGTACTTAGCCTTATTAGTACTATGACTAGCACAATTTGAAAAAATAAAATAATGTGTCCTTTTAAAAAATCACATTGACAAAAAGGAAAAGGAAACTGATAAGCTAGGCAGTAGTTCCAGCTATGCATGAGACTAAGGGAGGAGGATCACTTGAGCAGACAAGTTCAAGAACAGCCTAGACAACATAGTGAGACTGTTTCAGAGAGAGAGGAAAGAAGAGAGGGAGGGAGAGAAAGAGAGGGAAAAGAAATAAATATCCCTAATATTCAATGTTGCTAGAACATGGGGAAAGTTCTTACATACCAATCATGGAAATAAAATTAGGATAGTCCTTTGGGGAGAGTAATTTAATAGTGGATCAAAGTTAAAATGTCCATACCCTTTAACTATAAATATATGTCTTAGGATCCTCTTCCACAAAAAACATAAAATGTAACTACAAAACTGCTTACTCAAATTCTGAATATTATTTCGAGTAATGAGAAAACAGATGCTCACTAAGGAAAAAAAATGGATTAGTATAAAATACTACACAGGCATGAGAAAGAACAGAGTAGAGCTTTACATCCTGACACAGAAAGGAGTCCACCAGGTTGGGTGAAGAAAGCAAGCCCGAGCATGAACTCACTTTAGTAACCTCTCCCTCAGACTCCCCAAACCTCCTGTGAACATGCACTGGGTTCAGACAGATACCTGGACACTCACAGAAGTCTGGCTGGGCTTTAGGAGACTTTGTTTGAATGCTTGCAATGAGCATGTATTGCTTCCAGCACTGCTGTGTGTGTGTGTGTGTGTAGAAGTCTTAGCAAGAAAAATGCACAGGAATAAAATTGCTTCCAAAGGCCAGTGAAGGAAGAGGCCCGGCCTCATCAGGAAGTAAGCTGTGGGTACCAGGGATGCGGAGGGCTAAAAGCCCCCGCCCCTGCCCAGTTCAGCTGGGGGGGGGAGGGAGGAGGGTCGCCCCAGGGGAGGGGAAGGGGGCGGAGCTGGGCCGGTCCCCGCGGGGAGGAGGGGGAGGGGGAGGGAGGGAGGGGGGAGAGCTGGGCGGCACTCACATGTCGTACAGCAGCCGCCCCGCCGTGGCCGTCCGCTCCGCGTTGCGCTCGATGGTGTACATCTCATACTGCAACAACACCGCGCCGGGTCACGGTCACCATCGCCCTGGGCCCCGCCGGTCCACAGCCATGCCCGACGCCCGGAGGCTGGCGACAGGTCCCGAGGGGTGCGGGGTGGAGGGGGGGTCCCCGCCGGGGTGGAAGGGATCCCGCCGGGGGTGAGGGTGGGGCGGCCCCGCACGCGTGCAGGCGGCCCCGCAGGGGTGCGGGGGGCCCCGCAGAGCCTCCACGGCCACCCCCGCGGCGCGGCGCTCCCACCTCCGCGCCGGGCCCGACCTCACCTGGATGTTGAAGTCAGCCGGGTAGAGGCTGCGGGCCGTGATCAACCACGCCTTGGCGGCCCAAAGGTCCTGGGGCACCAGCTCCCGGGCTCGCTGCACCAGGAACTCGCAATCCCCCTGGGCGGACATGACCCAAGAGCCCGCGATCCTCCGGCGCCAGCCCTGGCCACCCAGACCTTCCGGCCACCAGAGAACTCAGGCCACTGGCCTCCGCGGGAGGCCACTGCGCATGCCCGGAGGAGCGCCGAGCGCGCGAACTGGATCCAAGGGTTTTTCCGGGCTTTGCGAGCAACCGCCTTCCGGCGCCGGTCTGTGGTGGGGCCGCACGGTGATCTTCTGAGACGCCGTCTTCCTATTGGTCCTTCAGGGTCGTCTCCAAAGCACGGAGAGGTGGAGTTTCCTTTTGGTGGGCTGCCGCGGGACGCTGCCGCAGGTCAGGAGCATGCGCATTAGCCATCTGTGCGGCTCGAGTTGGCGACTAGACCCGCGGACTAGGGGTGTAGAGCCCCTCGGTGCCCTCCCACCCCGCAGGCGTGGTACGGACGGGACTGGGAAGAAGCTGGAGAGTAAACCTCAAAGGAGCAATCAGAATGCACCCCCGGCCCCAGCTTCAGAGTGCTGCGTCTGGATAATCCTGCACCTTTGCTTTCAGGGTTGTTACACCTGGAGTCTCTGATTTCCCAGCAAGGGTCGAATAGTTACCATTGCAAAGTGCTTGTCTGGATGCTAGGGAATTTATGAAGATGAAAACAAATCATCTCACCAGCGAGGGCTTTGAAGAAATCTAAGGTTCTAGATGCACAGCCAATAGGAAAAATAGCTCAATCGTCTCCTCCAACCAGAACCGTGGATTCTTCCTCCTTCGAGGTCACTTTCACTCCAGATTTCCATTTAAAAGAAACAAAAAATTCCTCCCTGCTCCACTGACGAGAACGCAGTATTCATTAGCTAAATAGAAGAAATGTTCCCCAAAGTAAATACGGGATATTAGGTTTTCAAACAGAAGCGTTGCATACCTAATGTTGTCGACTTCTCTGGCAGTGAATCGGCTCTGTGTGTGTAGGTGTGTGCCAGCGCGCGCGTGGGGGGCGTGCATACGTGTGAGCTCTGGGTTGTGAACTCAGGGTCAGGGAGCTGTCCAAGAGCGCTTGTGCTCAAAGCTAGTCCTCAACCACTTGAGCCACAGTTCCACTTCTGACCTTTTTTTCTTTTCTTTTTTCTTTTTGTAGCTAATTGGAGACGAGTCTTAGGGACGTTCCTGTTCTGGCTGGCTTCTAACCACAATCCTCAGATCTCAGTCTCCTGAGTAGCTAGGATCACAGGAAAGAGCCCTGGCACTAACTGATTGACATTTAAGACCAGAAGATAAAAGATTCAAGCTAAACACTTACATGTTTTACTATAAGTAAATAAATAAATAAATGGATAAAAGAACGTGTAGGGTAGAGTGTGTGATATGCATATATCAAAAAAGGATAATGAAGACTGTTAAAAAGCATTTTAAAAAGAGGAGTAGGGAGGCTGGGAACGTGGCTTAGTGCCTAACCCTGGATCTGATTCCTCAGTAAGCAGAAAAATCCAGAAGTGGCGCTGTGGCTCAAGTGGTAGAGCACTAGCCTTGTGCTCAAGAGCTGAGGGACAGCACCCAGGCCTAGAGTTCAGGCCCCTCATGACAATAAATAAATAAATAAGCAAGCTCAGGGTCAGCACCCAGGCCCTGAGTTCAAACCCCAGTACTGGAAGAAAAAACAAAAGAAAAAGGAAATAAAAAGAGGAGTAGGGATAAAATTGAGTAATATGTGAGGTGAATTGGGTCCAATCAACTATATACACATATGTAAATATTACAGTGAAACCCAATTTTACAATTAATATTTCTTCATAAAGGAAAAATACTGTTGGAATATATTACTTTTAAATCCAATTCCACCTACATAATTGTGATTTGTTGAAATAAAATAGAATAAATAAAAATAGTACAAATAAATAAATAGGGGCTGGGAAGGTGGCTCAGTGGTAGAGTGCTTGCCTTGCATGCATGAGGCCCTGGGTTCAATTCCTCAGCACCACATAAGCAGAAAAATCCAGAAGTAGTGCTGTGGCTCAAGTGGTAGAGCACTAGCCTTGAACTCAAGAGCTGAGGGACAGTATCCAGGCCCAGAGTACAGGCCCCATAAATAAATAAATAAAATCTCCCTTCCAAAAATAAACTGTAGAAACTGCTGTATATGCACATGGAAATATGTCTTTTAAATCAACACAAATGAATACATTACTCCAGTGAACTAAAGTTCTCTAAAGAAGTTGTATCTACTTTACAGATGCTGCAAACTGTTCAGCTTGGTAATTGTGGAGAGATGAAACTGTGTAGGAGGCTGATTTAGGGCTTAGACTAGCCATGTACCCTGTCTATCTAAACTAGCATTCTTCTAAATAATAGGAAATTTGGAATGTACCATTTATACTCAACACACCTCCATTTCCCACCATCCCTAAAGCGAATAGTGCTATAAACTAAGCCTGAAACCCGTGGAAAAGGCTTCCCCTGCCTCTTGCTGTGGCCCACCTACCAATGTAGTCAATATAGGTTGTGAATGTACTTATTTCTGACTTGTTCTTGTTCTGTGACTTTTTGTTCTTGTCACCTCTTCCCTGGTGGAGCCCATCCTTTGAGGGAACTCCAGTCTTTGTCCCCAGCCAAGCCTACTCGTATTTGACTCCCGAAAACAACTATTATTTCTTTTAAAGGAATCACTAATGTATGTCAACACTGTAGTGGTAATATGCCAAGTGTAAGCTTACTAATGCTCCTTATATAGAAAGAATTTGTAGACTAGTTTTAGATTTAAGTATTGAAAAGTACAAACACATAGGAATATTATATAAAATATCAAAGTTATAAATTAATAGCCCAATGAAAGCACTAGGGTGTGGCCAAGTATAGAACAACTTCCTGGCAAGTCTTGTAGGCCTCAAGTTCAAATCCTAGTACTAAAACATAAGTAAATTGAAACAGAAAATGAAGTTATGAAATGTGTGCATGTGTGTGTGTGTGTGTGTGTGTGTGTGTGTGTGTGTGTGTGTGTGTTTATGCCCATACTGGGGCTTGAACTCAAGGCCTCACATTCCCTAATCATAGCTAGTATTCTGCCGTTGAACCACCTTTCAGTTCCCAGTCATGGAAAATTTTCAGGCCTCACCCCTTACTCTTTTGTTTTTTGTAAATTTTTTAATTGTTATTCTGAAGGTGATATATTGAGGGGTTACAGTGACATAAGTCTGATAAAGAGTACATTTCTTTTGGGACAATGTTACCTCTTCCCTTACCCTCTCCCAGTTTTTCCCTCCCGGCCTCACCCACAAGTTGTATAGTTCATTATCAGCATCCTTACTCCAGGTTTTTCAAACTTGATTTTGTCTCATTAGTATCTGAGAGCATAGCTAGGCTGAGGCTAGCTGGGGTTCACTGTTCAAGCGCAGTCAGGCTGTGTGGGGGGGATGTGTGTGGGGATGTCAGCTCTCAGGTAGCTTCTATGGATTCTGCAGGTGTTATGAAAAATAACAGGAAATTCCTGGCAGCCTAATTGTGCAATCATGCTCCAGACCAGGATTGCTCCATGACAGAATATTGTTGTCTTTGTAGAATGGAAAAAGGTGGAAAACTGAATTTAAACGAAGATCAGGATAATTTTTGTCTTTTGAAGTATAGCCACAGCAGTAGATTGCTAGCCAGGCACTGGTGGCTCACATCTGTAATCCTACCTGCTCAGATTGCTAGCTTGGGTAATTTTTTTCATTACTTTCTTGGCTTAATAGATGAGGCACTATGTAAGAATTTTTGAATGGCAAACTGTTCATTGGGGGTCCTGGGAGTAGAATCCAAGGCCTTCTACTGGCTAGACCAGTGCTCTGCCATTTGAGCCCCCTCCAAGTCCACTTCCCATCACAGGTGTGAATGGCAGGCTAGCAATAAAGTTTAGGATCGGGTTAAATACTTTCTCTTGATAATTGGCTTTGTTAAAATAATTAATAAGAAGGAAGTACTGGAGCCAGGCGCCAGTGGCTCACACCTGTGAGCTTTGGGCTATTTTCTTGATTATACAAGGGTGAAACAAAATATGCCTTGTGTTTAAGTGATATACCAGTGGAGAAGACATTGGGTTGCTGAAGAATCACAGCTTTGGGATCATCTCTTAAGCTACCAGTTTGCTATCATGTCAGAAATAACAAGCTACCATAGAAGAGAGCTCACAGCAGCTGCACGCAGAATGGACTAACTACTTAGGAGGCTGAGACCTGAGGTTCACAGTTCAAAGCCAGCCTGGGCAGGAAAGTCCAGGAGACTCTCATCTCCAATAAACCACTAGAAAACCGGAAGTGATGCTGTGGCTCAAGTGGCAGAGCACTTGCCTTGAGCTAAAGAGCTGAGGGACAGCACCCAGGCCCAGAGTTCAAGCCTCATGACCAACCAAAAAGAAAAAGAAAAAGAAAGAAAGAAAAAGAGAAAGAAAGGAAGGAAGGAAGGAAGAAAGAAAGAAAGAAAGAAAGAAAGAAAGTGCTTGGCCTATCACAAAATAGAAGAACTGTTAAAAAAAAAACAGACAAACAAACGAACAGGAATTCAAGCAACAAATAAGGAAAGGCCCACACCAGCACCAGCACCAGTGCCAGTAGCTCATGCCTGGGGTCATAGCTACTCAGAAGTCTGAAATCTGAAGTTAGCTCAGGCAGGAAAGTCTTCAGCAAAATAGCTAAGGGATAGTTCAAGCCCCAGTACCTATACACAAAAAAAGAAAAAAAAGAAAAGGCCCAGTTTAGAGAAGCCAGCAGGTGGAGTTGCCTGTTTTCCTTCTATAAGATAATTAACTTTTCAAATGACCCTCCTGTTTTTCCTTTGGATCCTGAATTCTGCAGCTCTTTTCTGCCTCAGTGGTCAACCCTCCAAGCCCTTATGGGTTGTTAAGGCACCAAATGCTGTCCAATTCTAGAGTGTCATATAAAAGCCAAGTAGATCTTTAAAGCAAATGTGTTTTCCTTTTGATTTTAGAAGATCTCTTAAAATCCTGTGGTGACTAAAACTGATGAAGTGTATTAACAATGGTGGTGCAGTGGGTAGCTTGTCTCCTCTATCTGTTTCTCTGTGGTCATCAAGCTGAGCAAATTCCAGCTGCCCACAGTGGTCTGAAGGACAGTTGTTGGTTTTTCTCT